AAGATCGCGAAGCCCAAGCTCTCAGGATTTTATAGGGCTTGCATGTGCTCGTGCGTTAGATTTTACGGGTGCTTCAGCAGAACTCTCACAACCCAAAGCCGCAAGCCCGCTCCGTGAATCCCACCTCCAGCCCCCGATCTCTTAACCCACACCCCTAACCCAAACCAAATCAAACCCACGCCTTAAATGAAGGCCGTGAGCGTCTAGGATAACAAGTTGGGGAGCTGAGATCCCTGCTCTCGGCCCCGCTCCATACGCATGTTCAGGAGGTTCAGTCTGTTATCAATCGTATAGGGCCCTATAGTCCTCCTTATAGAACGCAATTGAGAACCTAAACTTCAGATCTCTCGAACGAACTTGGTAGCCCAGTAACCATATTACTGCAAGGGCACCTTTCTTGGGGTGAGCTACTTATAAGAGAACCCATAACCCAAAACAAAGGCTAAAGGGTTCCGCTGGGCCACCAAGCAAAGGTCAGGGATTGGCCACGGGGCTCCCCCGGCCTGTGTGCGCTTGCCCTGGGCGAAGAAGCGCAGCGGCTGGCCTGGCACTTCGTTGGGTTGCAAGTGCAGCTATACTTGGGTTATAAGTACAGTTATAATTGGGTGATATGTGCAGTTCTACTTAGGTTATAAGTACAGCTATAATTGCAATGGATTAGATGTGCAGTGGGTCATTTTGCCACCTCCAACCCTCTACCGCTCCCAGGGTTGAACGAGACCAAGGTTCAGGGGTTTAGGGCCACTGGGACCTTACTAAGTATTACTAAGCCAACGTCCCAAACGGCGCAACCGCGCGGGACTCGTCCAGCCGAGCCTGTGGCTTTCGACTGCGCCTGCCATGCACGAGCAGATTAGAGGGCTTGTAGGGCGGAAGCTCAGTCACTGTCTGTTTTCTTGCAGGGTCTAGGGCGCTCGGGTTTATGAGGTGTAAGGATTGGGGTTGAGGACGCCCATTTATGAACACGTTAGTTGTGATGGTTGGGTCTCGGGTTGAGGGCTTATAGTGTTCAGGAATTACGAGCTTTTGCTTCCGTATGTCCAGCAGCGACACTATGGAGCATTATAGCTGGAAGAGTTGCCACCCTTGACACGATTTGAAGGATATTCTTCTCCACAACCCCCCCCCCCCCCCCTGCCCCAATTTGCTGCTTCCTACAGCAGCCAGAACTCCTCCTACCACACGCCGCTCGCGACCTCGTCTCTGATACAAGTGCTGGTTCCCTAAACTTCAGCCCCCTTGAGCTCTAAACACTAAACTCTGAACCCTACACCCTAAACCCTAAACCCTACACCGTCCTACACCCTAAACCCTAAACCCACAACCCTAAACCCTGAACCCTAAACCCTGACCCTAAACCCTGACCCTAAACCGAGCTCTCAAGTTTTCATAGCGCCTGTGGTTGAGGTGGCGAGCCGGTGAGCAACAAGTGCACACTGGTGCCACTGCTGCCGAACCTGCGCCAGCAGGTCAGATGCAGGCAATATAGGGGCCTTCATGGTTTAGGGATTAGGGTTTAGGGCTACTATAGGGGCCTCGATAATTGGAATAGGGTTTTGGGGGTTATGCGGACCGAAGTCTGTGCGATGAAGGTGAAACAGAGTGTTTTGTACACTCACAAGAATATCATTCAAGACTCATACTTTAAAGGATGTGAAGAATGCGTTGTAAAGAAGCCTCAATAGCAACGAAAGAGTTGTGCCACTCGCGGTAGGTCGAATCAGCAAGGTATACTGATATAGTATAATTACAAAGGGACCCGAAGTGCATACCATTAGAAACTATTCCGACCCCTATAGTACTGGACCCACTCGCAGTGGGCGTCGAGTTTGCCAAGAGCTTGCTAGAACAAGTTTCCTCTGCACGTGGCATTCTAATCACCGGCTCTGAGGTCGGCAAGTTTGGCAGGCTGTGTAGCTTGCAAATGTAGTCATGGAGCTGCTGGTTCTCAAGACGTGCTTTGAGCAGCGCATGATTGCTCCTCAAGCATTCGACCTCCTGCAACTTTGACGCCGCTTGGTGCACCTCCCCTCGTCGCTTCAAGTATGCCACCTGATTCAGGAATGCTTGAATCTCGTGCGCTCTGCGCAAACCATCCTCGTCAAGCCTCTTGCCAAACTTCTGGTTGCCGACATGCTCTTCCAGTGTTGCGCGAACCTGTGCTGCATTCGCACGTGTCAAGCTCATTGCGGTCTTTGCCTGCTCTGCTTTGCAGAGTAAGCCTGTTGCTAGCATGCGATGCAGCACCTGTTTGCAAACCTGCGTAGGGCCCAAAATAAGTCGGAAATTCGGGCCATCGCGACGAACTCGGACATCCAGACTGAAGCGCTGCACCAGAAAACCTTTCAAACAATCCAGTACTGTGACGTATTTCTGAGATACACATAATCTAAAATATTTAAGCTTCCCTCCTCCACAGCCCTGCTGTATGTGCCCTTCTGCATCGAAGAACCCAGTGAAGTACTCCATCGTGCAATGCCCCACCACAGCAGAATCGTACTTCTTTAATAGCTGTAGCTCCTCCTTGATGTGTTGTCTTTGTGCCTTCTTGTACTGAGGCCATGCAGCTACTAAGTGGAGCTGCTTTTGTTTGGTGATGCTATACGGCGCCAGAAGTGTAGCGGCATGGCAAGCTTTCTGGCCGCACACTTCCCATTTCAACACCGGCCGACACAACCCCACTCCATCACACTGGCGCCTCACGCTCCCACCGAACAGATCAAGGAACAACAACAAGACTCCAGCTTGGTTGACGGACTGCTCTACTGTCAACATGCACCGAGCAGACGGGCCAACGCATCCATCGCCATCGAAAAATCCAGCCAAATATCTCAATCTTGCTGATGTGGACAAGCCCAGAGCGCAGGCAGGAAGGTCTGCCTGTCGACAAGGCAACTCATACACCCTGCCACCCACCTCGAAGGATTCTAGCCTGGGCCACCGCATGGTCTTTAGAAGAGCACGGAGCCGGTGGTTCTTCTTCACCACATCCTGCAAAGAGTCCCCGGATGTGACAACCAAAGGCGATACATTTGCTACAGTGTTGTTTTGCGACGATGCAGCTTCGGAAGAGCGATGCTGCAAAGTTGCGGCAAGGGTCCGAGCCGAGGAGACTGCCACCTGATGAGGGTGAACTCCAAGTTTTCGTCGCACAAGCGGCTCTGCTAGGAAAAGACATGCAGGAGCACGCATCAATCACGCTTCCAGAGTTCAGTTGGCAATGTGAGTCTAGCTGGAAGTCTAGCAGAGTTCTCCCGTCCTGCTTCTCATGTGCGGGGGCTGGAGGGGCTGGGGACAATTTGGCCACGACCAATCGAAGGTGGCTGGCAGTCATACGTTGCACCATCCAGCACATCTATGTATGTGGAAGGCCGAATCAAGCCGAATCATACAAAGGATGCCACATGCACAATACTGCAGATTTAAGCCCGTACCCCCACAGACCAAGACAACGTCATCCGCAAAAGCAACGCTCCCAGCGAACAGCGGGGCCAAAGCCCACCCAAACTTCGGACCCGCAAAGCCTCACAAAGCTATCAGGGACTTCGGGTCCGGAGAGTTGAGGGTTTCAAGTTTTTGGTTTGACGGCTTTGGGATATTGGGATTTGTAGGATCTGGGCCTCTCTGAAGCTCGAAAAGGTGAGTCTTCTAGGAAGTCAGGGGAGCTCCTGTTCTTCTGGAGGCCGGGCCAGGCCCGAAACCCTAAACCCTAAACTCGCATGGCATCCTCGGCCTTGTCAGCCCGAACCCCAAAAGCAATCCCCAAAACATACTCCCTGTCACTACACTAGGGAAGTAGACCCTATAACTTATTATGCAACCCCCAAAGCCCTAAAAACAAAATCCACAAGCTGCCTAACCTACCCAAGTCCAAACTACCTAACACACAAAACAGCCCAGACCCCTCAACTCCGAACCTCGCCCTTCGAACCCAAATCCCTAAGCCCTAAGCCCTAAGCCCTAAACAGAATGCTACAAAAGCCCTGGTCTCGATGGCATCTGCAGGGTGGCGCACGAGGAGACGCCCAGGGACTGCTGCAAGCAGGTGGCTTCCATGGCCTGGCATTCAAGGGCGGGCCCCTTTTCTTTGCAGGGAGGGTCGGGGGGGTTGGGGGGGGGGGTGGGGGGGGGGGGGGGGGGGGGGGGGAGGGGTCAGGGTGTTGGGGGCCCCCTAAACCCTAAACCCAAAGCCCTAAACCCTAAACCTTATCCCTAAACCCTAACACAAGGCCCATGAGGCTTAGGGTTTGGGGCTTGCATGGGGCTTAGGGTGCAGCTTGAGGATTGTTGGGCTTAATTGTTCAAGAGTCCGGGCCCACGAACCTTCTAGGGCTAGGGTTTCAAGTTCAGGGTTGAGGGTTGTGAGTTCGGGGCTCAGGATGTGGTCGCCTGGCTACTACAAGAAGACGTGTCGGACGACTCTTCTGAAACCGGCTGATCCATCGCGCAATGTGGACCCTTAAACGCCTCAAACCCCGAACCTCAAACCCCGAACCCCAAAAGCCCGGAACCTCAGATCCCTACGAAAAAACACAACCCAAACCCCTCAAGCCTTCACCCACGTGACCCTCAATCCCGAACTCAACTACAGAACTCCAGGCACAAGAAGAGGCCACTTTCCCCTCGGCGGCTCTGCGCTAGAGCAAGGGGTTATACACTATGTACAGACCCAGACTGCGGGGAGGATCTAGAAAAACGAACCTCCTTAAGGGGTTCGATAAAGTATAACCACACAGATGCTGGATATTAAATTGAGGGGCTTCTACTGCTTGCTAAATCCTCCCACAGGTCTGGGGAACTCCACGTGATGGCAGTTGCAGAGTTGCATGAGGCCTATTTAGGATTGAAGGTTTGTGGGTTCGGCTTTCCTCCTCTCAGTCCTTAAGCACCAGTGAGCTGGTCCTGATGATAGTCAGCTCTGCCCGGGTGCGACACCAACATGGCGTAAGAGATTGCGGAGCTGTGCTTTTTGCAGCAGCTCGCGCAACCAAGAAGGGATACTTAGTTGTCGGGCCAGGGTTCGGCTTGTATGCTGCGAAGTCAGGGTATAGGGTTTAGGGTTTAGGGTTTAGGGTTTGGTTTAGCGCATATCGCTGCACGCCCCCAATTTCAGGCATGCTGCGACGCGCACAACGCACGTGTAGACAGCGAGTCGAACGTTGAGACAGATCTCAAGGCCTCACGCCGGCCTCTGCTTGCCCTTCAGCCTCAGATGCAAACCAGGAGCTGGGCCACAACCCTGAACCCTAAACCCTAAACCCTAAACCCTAAACCTAAACCCTAAACCCACTCAGCAAGGCTCCGGGAGACAAGGCTTTGAGTTCTTTAAGGGCTTTCCGGTGGTTGGGCTGCAAGGCTTAAGGCTTCAGGTCTCCTGGTTGGGTTTAGGGTTTGGGGCTTAGGGTTTAGGGTTTGGGGTTAGGGTTTGGGGTTTGGGGTTTGGGGTTTGGGGTTTGGGGTTTGGGGTTTAGGGTTTAGGGTTTAGGGTTTAGGGTTTAGGGTCCAGGGTTTAGGGTCCAGGGTTTAGGGTTTAGGGTTTGGCTTCAGCTCCTGTTTGGGTCCCAACGTTTCACAGAGGCTCAAGCACATCAACTTTTTTGGATTATTTGAGCTGAGAGCGCGTTTAGACCTTTCAACTAGCGGCTTGAGCCGGAGGCTCTTAAATTTAGGGTTAGGGTGTAGGGTTCGGGTGTAAGGAGTGGGTTTAGCTACACTTCACCTCATGTGCAGCTACAGCACGATGTAGCACCGATGACTGTGGGTGCTCATGGCTCAGTGGGAGACCAAACCGGGAGACCCGAGCGAGGACAAGAGCTCAACATCAAAAATAAACACGCCGAGGGAACAAACTAAGCACAAACCACTCCTAAACCCTACCAGCCCTGCACCATAACCCCCTCCCCCTCCCAAAAAAAACACAAAAACAAAAGCCCTGAAATCTAACACATAAGCCCTGAACACGAAACCCTGCTAGTAAAACCCTACAAGCCCTAAACCCTAAACGCTAAACCCTAAACCCTAAACCCTAAACCGCCAGGCGAAGGGCGCGTCGGCTTCGATCTCCTCCGCCTCCTCCTCGGAGTTCTCGGCCTCGGCCGCCTGCTTGGAAGAGAGGGTTCATAGGCTTGCAGATGTTTATAGGGTTATTATAGGGTTATTATAGGGCAATTATAGGGTTAATATAGGGTTATTATAGGGCAATGATAGGGTTAATATAGGGTTATTATAGGGTTGTTATAGGGTTGAGGGTTTAGGGTTCAGGGTTTTTTGGGATAGGGTTTGGCGGGTTTAGGGTTTATAGGGTTATTGTAGGGTTTAGAAGGGTTTCTAAAGGGGTTATACTCGGGATAGGTTTAGAGGGGGGTTTCTAGGGGCTCAGGCATCACGCTTCCAACATGATGTTTACCTGCAGTTTTCCACCCACGTCGGCGCTTAGGATTGTTCGTGGCGTCAAAACAAGATCGGAGGATCAACTCGTCACGACGGTTCAGGGTTTAGGGTTTAGGGTTTAGGTTTAGGGTTTAGGGTATAGGGAGCAGGCTGGGGCTTTCTGCCAGTCGTCTTCCCATAATCTCTCCAACACATCATGATTCGCCACATTTTGCCTGCAGTTTGAGTGCCGCGTTGGCGCTTAGGACTTTCATGAGCTCGGCAGGCTCTGTTGCGGTGGCCAAAGCGAGATCGCAGGATCAATGGAGGACAAGAATTGGCTAGCCGCAGCCCCTGCCTTAGGCTGGGTCACCACACTTGCGATATCTGTCACGCAAATGTGCTGCACGTTGTTGAAACATAGCCCTCTGCAAGTCTTCTTGCCACCATCTCTCCGCCACCCGTGTCCTGTGCAACTCACGACTCTGCTTCGATGTTGCAAATCTTGCAGTGCACGCCGGGTTCCCCTTATAATGCTTAGGGTTTGCTGTTTAGGGTTTAGGGTTTAGGGTTTAGGGTTTAGGGTTTAGGGTATTTAGGGTTTCCGCAAAGAAACCACAAAGGCTTCGCCGGCACCGCACCTTTCTGCTGTGGGAAAGATCTCATTACCCGTGTTCAAACCTTGACTTGCGTCATGCCCAAGTTCATGAAGAATGCATGATCATTAACGTTTGCAGTCTGGGTTTTGAGGTTTAGGATTTAGGGTTTAGGGGCAGGGAGTGTAGGAGGGTTTGAAGGCCTTGTAGAGCTTATAGGGCTTACAGGGCTTAAAGGGTTTTGAGATTTGGGGGTGTATAAAGCTTGTAGGGTTTAAAGGGTTTTAAGGCTTATGGGGTTAGGGTTTATAGGGTGAGGGTTTACAGGGCTTGTAGGGTTTATAGGCTTATAGAGATTAAGGCTGATGAAGGTCCAGAAGGGTTCAGGGTTCAGGGTTTAGGGCTTTAGGGCTTTAGGGCTTTAGGGCTTTAGGGCTTTCGGGCTTTAGGGCTTTAGGGCTTTAGGGGCTTTAAGGCTTTAGGGCTTTAGGGCTTGTAGGGATTATTGGCCTGAAAGGGTTTAGGGCTTACAGGCCTTATAGGGTATAGGGTTTTAAGGTTTGGGGTTTGGGGGTTTCGGGAGTTTAGGGTTCATGGTTTAGGGTTTTAAGGTTTACGGTTCTGGGAGTTAGGGATTTATGGGTTAGTGCTTGTACGGTTTTAGGGGGGGGGGGAAGGGTTTGTGGGGCTTATAGGGTTGAGAGGGGTTTAGGGTTTATAGGGTTCATTGGGAAGGTTTTAAGGTGGTAAGGTTGAGGCTTTAGGGGTTTAAGGTTTGGGGATGTGTTTACAGGGTTTATAGGGTTTATAGAGCTTAGAGGGTTTAGTGAGTTTATAGGGCTAACAGGGGTTAGTTTTCGGGCTTATTGGGATAGGGGTTTATTGGGTTAAGGGTTTAGGGTATAGGGTTTGGGCTTCAGGAGTAGGGCTTGCGGGTGTTTTGGGCTGGTGGTTTAGGGTTCTCCCGCGAAAACCCTTAGGCTCAACGTGCCCTCAACGACCGCTTTTGGGTGGTTCTCTGAATTTGGATCCCTGTTGGGGCCTTTCTTTTGACGGTGCCTACTATCTGAAACCCCAAAAGGGACCCTAATTTAGAGAACTACCCATCTTTGGGGGGTCACCGGCTTGAACACAAGCCCTACACACCCCATAAGCCCTATGAACCCTGCAAGCCCCATAGGTCAAAAGCACCAGAGGCGGTCAATGCTCGGGGCTTAGGGTTTAGATGGTTTAGATGGTTTAGATGGTTTAGGGGAAGGTGTCTATTTAGGGCCTAGGACTGCCGATTTGAGGGCTGTTTGGGCGGCCACGAATTGGTGTGCCCATGGCTAAAGGTGTTGTTTTGTCTCGGGTTTGAGGTCTAGGGTTGAGATGCGCCTGGTGCCACAGC